GATGCAAATTATTAGAGTGAATTATGTCAATATTCTGAATTAGACAGATTTCAACAAAATTGCCAATGAAAAGTTAAGCACAATGAGTGAAGTATATCAACACCCAAATGGATGTACACATCTTATTTTTATTTATTTATATGGCCCCCCAACTCACTCATGGTGACTCGGGGCAGCTTACAGAAATAAAACCCCAAATACAAACCCACTACACCCCACCCTCCTGGCAACAATACGTTCAAACAAACAACTTGATGGGCTCCATATCAACATGGGATCTCCAGGCCTGCTGGCAAAACCATGTCTTCAGGGCTTTCAGAAGAGTATCAAGATGGGGGGCAGTCTTATCTCCGCAGGGATGATGTTCCACAGGGAGGTAGCCACCACAGAGAAGGCCCTTCTTCTCGCTCCCACTAGATGGACCTCCTTTAGGAAGGATAAAGTCACCTGGTCCAAAAAATGAATGGACCAATCCCATTCATATATTCTACGATCCTATGATATTCAATAAATTTGTTGTGGATTTCTACCTGAATTTTCTGTTAGAGCTTTCCTCAAAAGAGCCATTGAAATTATTGATTTCTTAAAGTGCTGAGAATTTCCAATTCATGTAACTGCATGTTTTACAGAGAAAGGGAACAAGTGTTAATTTTTGTTGCAGACAGATGACTCAAACTTTAAGCATAACAAGAAATGTGTTTTCCATCTGGTGTTTTTGCCTGTCATTTTAAAGCACTTTTTAAATGCATTTTGACTACTGTGTGCAAAGGTAGTTTTAAAAAGTTCCCGTTTGCTTTCATTTCAGCCCATTGTAAAACCAAACATTCCTCCACCTCCTGTGCCACCAGCCAAATCAGCCATACCTCCAGCCATGGTATGTCAACTTCCTAATCATCACTCTTCCATGATGTTTTGCTCCTTTATAGCAGGATGTTGGGTCAGGGTTGTGGTTAGAACACTTTCCAGGCGGTGTGATATTTTCAATTTTTTGAGACTGCTGGATGAAAAATAAGGTAAAGAGCTTCCGGGGGGAAATATTCAAGTGGTGGGTTACTGGTGGGGATTTCTCAGTGAGCCTGAAGCTCCAGGGATCCTGCCCTCCCATACAGCTGCCCAGCTTGCTTATTGAGTATGGCTAACCTAGCAGTAATTCAGTCCTTTCTTCCCAATGCCAGGAGAGGACCCAGAGCCTTTGGGAGGGTTGCGTATCAACTCTAGGTCTGATGCTTTTGCAAAGGGAAGATGAATTGCCACTAATATACTGAGTTGCATTCTGGCCTTATTCTTGAATCTCCATCCACTTAGGGCAGTTAATCTATCATAGTAACAGGATGATAGTACTCTCATGGGAACTTTGTCCTACCTCCAGTTTTAATGGGAAGAGGTTTGGACATGTCCCATTATTAAATACCCATCCCCTATGTATGA